AAAACCCCCACATTTACCATAAAAACATTTGTTCATCCAGTGTTGTTTCTCTTGCTTAACAAATAAATTTATTTCATTTTACCTATAGAATACTCACATTAAGTGTTTTCCTATGTAGGTAAAAATCTGTTTAACAACCTGTTAAAATACACCAGAATGCAGGAAATGGCATTTACTTCTTTAAAACTTTTCTGGGGGAGGACCCCCTGACCCCCCGCCAGTGGTTCCCCCCAACATTACAAATACTTACTCTTTTTTGTCTCTGAATGTCATAAAATCAGTGATATTATCTGTGAAATTACAAATCAAACATCTGTTGGCAAATCCATAGTTTTATATTGCCATAGTTTTCAATTTGTCATCTTTACAAACACATCATAAAATGTCTGTTATAGATATTAGTTTTGGTGTGCCACTCTTGGTTTTTCAGTGGCCCCCCCTGAAAAAGTTTTCTGCAGGCGCCACTGCACATGATTATGCAGAAGATTGTGCGTAGTGTTATTTACAAGGTTTGACCAAAGCTTTCTCRTCAAAAGGTGATCTTAGTCTAAAACATTAGGATTTTAACGTTGGTCGTCTCGCGTGTTGTCCAGCCTCTGGGAGCCGGTGATTACCTGGAGTTGGCTCGGGCCTTCGACACTGTATTCATCCGCCACGTTCCCTTGCTGACGCTGAGCCTAAAGGACCAGGCCAGACGCTTCATCACCCTCATCGACATCTTCTACGACAACAAGGTACCCAGCTGATAAACAAACACTACATTTTTATTTTGTGTTGGTTTTGAAGCTCCTTGAGGACTTTTTAAAATCTGGCTACAGAATTTCTCCACATAAGGAAGACAATAAATTGCTCCATCTTAAAGGAGTTTCTCACTCAATAATACAAAAAAAGGGTACCACCTTACAATAAGGCTCCCCTTATAGATGGCTTATAAATATTTTATAGATAGGTTATTAATTCATTTAGAAACACTTTATACATCAGTATTGAGTGTTTATTATGTGTGAATTAAGGACGAGAAAGACAAAACTGTCCGGTTTTTGGTCAAATAGTGAGCCAAATCTGTTTATAAAGTGCTATAATARACATTTCAGACTAGGTTACTACCTTGTAAACACAATAATGTGTTGGAAACACATATTTTACATATAATATTGCACTGTATTATACATATCCACAACTATCAAAGGGAGCCTTATTGTAAAGTGGAAGACTGTACACTATTTATAAGGCTCCATTATGACATTTATACACATTTATTAGTCATTGATAAATAGTGTACCTAGTGTAAATATGTGTTTCCAATACATTATTGTGCTCACAAGTTAACTTGGTGTGAAATATTTAATATAACACTTTATGATATGTATATGAACAGATTTGGCTCACTATTTAGCAAGAAACCAGACAGTTTTGTCTCTTTCTTATTCTTAATTAATGCATAATAAACACTTATTAATAATTTATAAAGTGGTTGCAGATGAATTAATAACCCATCTATAAACTATTTACAAGCCATCTATAAGGGGAGCYTTATTGTAAAGTGGTACCCAAAAAAAAGTACAAGGGATGCAATAAAACATCTCTGATTGGCCAGAAATGTAGAACTTGTATTGTTCGACAGGTAGTAAATTTTATATATGTATATTGTTTACAGAAAACATAACCTGGTGATATTTAGAACATTCCTACATCTAATCTGTATTTTTTTCCCCCTTTTTCCCAGGTGAGAGTCGTGCTGCAGGCGGAGGCTCCGTTAGACCGACTCTTCGTGCACACCGGAGGAGAGGACGAGAGAGATCGACAGCTGCTGGATGACCTGGGCCTCGACGGGGTAAGATCTCACCTTGGTTATTAACCGTGATGCGCTACTTTTTGAGATAACTTTCTTTTACAGCTGCAAAATGCAAGTGAACTGATTGGAGTGGAGCGCTTGAGTTGCCAAACAGTTTGTTTGTTCTTCGTCAGGAGGCAGCGGAGAGACTCGCTTTGTTCACAGTGGAGGAGGAGATCTTTGCCTTCCAGAGGACCGTCTCCAGGCTGAGGGAGATGCAGTCTGAGTCCTACTGGGTGAAGGGAGATCGCAGCTCCAGCAGGAGACACATGGACATGTAGTWTACAACACTTTAACCTGCATTAAACAGAATCTGACTGCCACTGTATTCTACAGTTCTTCTGATACCATGATTATATGAGCTTGGAAGTTTTCTGTGAGGTGTGCTCTCTCCCCCTTGCGGGGAAAAAGTTATTTCTTATGTGTGTTAACCAAATGGGGAAGCAGGCTCACCGCACAACKGCCTCCGGCTGCAGGTGTTTAGTGCCCTCTAGTGGCTGAAAGTGGAAATGAGCTAATATTATGGAAAAAGTGGTTTCAAATCAAACCACAAAAGGGTTCTTCTGTAGAGGACGACCATGCATGAGGAGAACAAGCAAACAGCACCAAAAAATCCTACACAGCTAAGACATTCAGGAATATTTCYGTCACTTTTATACTTTTCCAAATATTTAAATTTACTGAAAATAAAATTTTCCATGAAACAAATTGAGCTCTTATTAAATCCATCTAAAACCTTTGTTCTTTTTCARATCTGCTTCAGGATACTTACTTTTTCTTTTCTTATTATACTGCTTTATCTTTGCTAGTTTTACATTTTGGYTATCAATGTTATTTTTACCTTTTAYTGTTTTGCTACATTAATCAGTTATTGTTAGTTTTAGCTACCATTTTTTTAGCTTTTAACTATCATTCTGCTCCTTTTAGCTTTTAGCAGCGTTGCTACTTTTAGCTATTGATTTTGTTTACTTTAGCAATAATTTGACTACTTTTAGCTTTGCTATTTTAAGCAATTTAGGATTTAGCTACTCTTTGGCTTATTTGAACTTTTAATTGTTTAATTTCAGATTAAACACAGTTTTGCTAATTCTAATAGCTTTAGCATCTGTTTTATTACTTTTGGTGAGTATTGCTAATTTCAGATTTAGCCACTAATTGCCAAATTTCAACTTATTTGGCTTTTTTTTTTTTTTGCTAGTGTTAGCTTTTATCTACAACTATGCTAATTCTATTGTTAGTTATGCTTTACCTAAGTTTCAGGTTCTTCATTAAATGTCAGCAGCCTTTCAGCAATTCATTCAGCATTTTCTAGTTCATATATACATGTCTACACTTAATGCAACAATAAGTGAATTAATGTGGTATTTTATTTACARTAAGGTTTTACTTTTGCAGCTGTGATGTTTCAGTGATCATTGCTTTAGACTGAAATAAACAGCTGATTCTCTTCATTTTATCCACATTTCAGACTGAATTGAAGCAGTCGGGCCCAGTTCCCAGTGTTGGCCTGTAGGTGGCAGCAGAGATCAGTCYATCGCTTCAAATGTATTATTGTCCATCTGAGGATGAGGTCATCCTAGTGCACCACTCCAGCCCACACCAGCAAGCTTTGATAACATCTTCTTAATTTCGACTGAGAGCCTTACGTAAGAGTGGAGCAAAAGAGGCCGACTAGTCCCTGAAACAATTACAGACATGTTTGTGATGTTTGTGCATGATSTGGTTATTTTCCATGGGGTGCTGTGAGTGTGTGGGTGGTGCACAATAAAAGTGTCTTTTATAGTGCATGAATCAGTAGTCATCTAACCCCGCATCATAAATCTCAGGTGAAGAAAAATCAATCACATACAATGCCGAGGCCCCTTTAATCCAATCAAAGCATTACGGCATTATGGCGGGGGGTGGACGCACACAGCCAGCGACGTCTGTCAGGCTTTGTGATTGTCCTAACTGGATGATTCACTCTGCTGTAAAAGGAGGGGTCATCGACTCCATCCTCACAGGACTGTAAACTTCACATCACCGCTTTTTATTTCTCTCTCATTGACTTATCATCTGAGCTGCTGTCCTCTCATTGATGCTCATAAAAGGCATTTTTAAATGCTAATTCCTCAATCAAGGAGCTTTAATCCAGAATAAGTTCTTTGTTTGTGTGTCTTGAGTAAAAAGTAAATAATCTTAATTGATGTGTGTGAGATTGTGAGCTCTTTAAAGCCAGTGCCATTGCTTCAAATAACAAGGTTAAGGTGTGTGAGAACCAGACAATATGTCATTTATTTTGAGTAATCTGACATTAATGACCAAATAAAATAGTTGCAACTGTACAGGGAGGGTAAAAACACTCAAAMCGCAATGTGTTAAATGTTTAGATGTATTTTTGTGAGGGAAAAGGCCAAAAAGGTCAGCATTTGCTCTGCTCAAATGAGCGTAAAGAGAAAAGAAATTTGTTTAAATATTTAGCCGCTCAAAGCAGATGATGTAAACGTTCATTCTGACACAGCTGGGTTTCTTACATGAAGGTTAGACACAAAAAGCACCCCTCAGACATCCCATAACCTCCTGCTGCACATCCAGAGAGCAGTTAACTCTGCAGGAGCCAAACTGCTGCATCAGGTATTCTCTTTGGTGTGCAGAGAACAAAAAGCATCTTTCAGTGAGGGTCTGCGTGGTGGGGACCATCTCTTATAACCTGATGCAGGACTCTGTTTTTTCTTTAACTTTCAATCATTTTTTTTTATTATTTATTTAAAATAATAATAATTTAAAAAATTCAAACTAAAGAGCAACAGAAGACATCTAAACGATTGTAAACAYTGCAGATCCATGCTGCAATGTTTTGGTGATGAGTGCTCGTGATCTGCCGTGAACGCGCATTCCTGCACACGGACGTCGAGCGCGCGCACCACGCACTGCAGGCTCCGTGAGACAAAGAAGACGAGGCTGTTTTGATTCAGTCGACTTGGAGGAGAGAGGAGGAGAAAGGGAGGTGCAGAGCATCACAGAACCAACCTGGATTCTCTCTCTCTCTCTCTCTCTCTCTCTCTCTCTCTCTCTCTCTCTCTCTC